CCTGAAACTGCACAGCTAGTATTGTTAGTAAAATAATAACATCTTTTGATCCTACAAGTGTGTATATGGGTGTGCAGGAGGGTCAGTAGGAGCTGTGAGCACTTGGTGGAAAGAAAAGAAGGAAAAAAAAAACCTCTCCCTGGTTGCAGCTTGCAAATCGAATCGATTGAGCGCAGAGCGAGCTAAAAATAGAAGCCATAAACGCGTGCTGGAGTGGGCGGCAGGCTTCCAGGAGAGAGAGCAAGCGGGATCAATGCTTATGAGCCCAAATGAACAGCAGAAACCTGTTTGAGTTCACACGCGGCCCGGCGGGAGAGGGGAGTGTGGTGGTTGGGGGGGGGGCAGGCGATAGATTGGAGCGGCTGTGGGTGTTCTAATGCTGCTGAGGCTGTGGGCGGGTTGGTGGGCGAGTTATGTCAGAGGATTTGAAGAGGCCGTCTAACACAGCGTGGATGGTCATTCAATGCGCATGATTTAAAAAAAAATGGGAGGAAAATTTATGAAACAATGTAAAGGAGCTACAGAATTACTCCATTTCTGATTGACCATCTTTGCTTCTGAGATAAACAGGCTTAATAATGAAGTAGATGCCAGAATCAAACATTTAAAGGTGATTATTTTTTGCAATATTTTCTTTTTTTTTAAATAATTTTAGGTTGTTTTCATCAGCCAACAAGGACGCTACCAATGTAACCCTGATAAAACACGTAGAAATAATCCCAGGTTATTTAATCCTGTGCTGTAAAAAGAGCCACTGAAATGACTCCAGGTTGTATTAATGCCTTGCTATAAAACGATAAAACCCCAGGTTGCATTAGAAATAATCTCATGTTATGTTAATCCCATGCAATTAAACAAACCATAGAAATAACTCCAGTTTATTTTAATCCCATTCTAAAAAATGAACAGTAGAAATATCCCCAGTTTATATTAAACCCATGCTATGAAAACTGAAACATAGCAATGCAAACACAGGTTATATTAATCCTGTGCTATGAAAAACAAAACATACGACCGCAGGTTGCATTAATCACGTGCTATAAAACAAGCTGTAGAAATAACTCCAGTTTATATTAATCATGTGGTATGGAAATCAGCCATAAAAATGACTCCAGTATGTAACAATTCCTTGCCATAAAATGATATAACCCCAGATTATAGATAATCCCATGTTATAATAATCCTTTGAAATAAAACAAACCACAGAAAATCACTGCAGGTTATTTTAATTCCATTTTAAAAAAAATGAACAGTAGAAATATTCCAGTTTATATTAATCCTATGATATGAAAAATGAAAAATAGAGCTGCAGATTAAATTAATCCTGTGCTATGAAAAATAAAACGGGTAACCCAGGTTATATTAATCCTGTGCTATAAAATAAACCATAGAAATAACTCAGGTTATATTAATCCTGTGCTATAAAATAAACCATAGGAATAACTCAGGTTATATTAATCTTGTGATATAAAACAAATCATAGAAATAACTCAGGTTATATTAATCCTGCGCTATAAAAACTAGATGTAAAAATGACCCCAGGTTATATTAATCCTGTGCAAACCGCCATGTGTAAATATTCCATGGTACCCAGTGGAAAGGGAGTTTTGGAGGCACTCAAATTAGCATTTACTTGTATTATTTGTGGCCCAAATCAGCCCAAAACACACAGTCCTAACTCCACACATTAAAACATGATGCTAATGACACTGCATTCATTTAAGATGGCTGGGTGGATGTTTATAGTAGCTAAAATTACGACTGGATTAAATGTTTCTTCGTTTTCTACCTTTAAGCAGCCAGATGTATTATGTATGGTGCTTCTTTGGCGTGATCCAAGTGTGTAAATTGAGAGGCCACACCCATCTCTGTAATTTATACATCACATTAAAGACATTCAGTGGTGAAATTACATCACCGCACCTCTGCATGTAAAACAAATCCATCAAATAGTACTCTACTCAGTAGCTTTTAGTCAGGTAGGCCCAAATCCAAGATTTCCTCAGTTATAGCCAATATCTCTCCATCCACACTGTGGGAAGGAAAGCAGATTGGCACACTATTGTTAACCAGTCAGAATCCTCACTGCAGCAAAGTGGAAACAACTTCTAAACTACAGGTTATAAAACCAAGGCCAACTAGATATGACAGAGTCCACATTGTTGTGAAAGGAGAACAAATGGCAGACTTGCAATTCTGGAGTTTGATGCCTCGTCAAACTGTATTTCCACCCCTTTGGTCTCAATATCCCATCCATCAGCACAGGTCGCATTAGGAAGCCACGCTGGCTTCCAAGTGACTCAGCAACTTTTAGCTCTTTGCCTCCAGATAAAGGCTCATTAAACTAAAAGCTTTACTGGCCCATCTGAACTTCCTGCCTTTTTCTAAACCAATAACGCCCACTCCACCGTCCCTCCCACCCTCACTCCCTCACTCCTTCTCTCGTCCCCTCAGAAGAGGGCAAGGAAGGGGAAAAAAGATGACATCGGGCTAATTGAACACCCCCGCTCTGATCTCTGAACTCACAGTAAGATTAATGACACTGCTCATTTTTTTCTTGGTTGAAGTCAGGTTCTGTACTCAGTACAGTGCACAATAAGCCCCATTCTTCCCTTTTCTGCCCGTTCATGTTTGTAAACATTGTCTCCTCCCGAGAAAATGAATGACGGACTAAGTAGATTAATGTAAAAACAGTAGGCGGCCTTAAACCTTCGGAAAATGGTGGCTAACGACTTGCAGCTAATCTCACAGCACGAGATAAAATGTATTAGGGAAGAAATATCTGCCTCTAGTGTTGAATGGGTTCCACATTTGTCACACTTAACCTTAAATTCACCCCAGAATATCACGGCAGTATGACTAAACAGGTTCTTTTCACTTGTCTCTAAGTTTCTTCACGTTATGCTCTTAATGCTCTGAGTTAATTGATCTCTAATTTGTTGTTTTTTTTTTTTCTCTTTGATGTCTGAGTGGGCTGCTCTTCTGAGTGGTTCATTTTCAAGTGTGCGTGACATTTATTGAATCACTTTTTATTCATTTTTGCCCATTTTCTATCCCAAATTAGTCATATCCAGCTCTGTTTGGAGAAGCATCTCTATCTCTGCACTCTCAGAAATAAAGGTACAGTACTGTCACTGAGGCAGTGCCCCTCTTGTCACTGGGGTGGAACCCTCAAGGGTCCATCTCAGTACCTTTAGTCAGGGAACATAACTGAACCATAATCCACTGAAATGATATGTTCTAAGCTGTACTGACTCCACACACCCCGTCTCGTCTCCAGGCTTTTATTTTACTGTTCTGTTTTAAATCATTCGGTTATTAAAAGGTACAAATACGAACTTTTCACCTGGAAAAACTTATTTAAGGTTCACAATCAGACCTTAAAACCACTGTTGTACCTTTAAGGGAACATTTACATTGTTTGTACCTTGATGTAAGTGTGAGGTACGAACTCCGAAGTACTAGATAATAACTTGGGGTGACAAGATGGTAGGTACTTGAAGTACGTCTAACTAAATTACACTGAAATGACTGACAGGTGTTAAGCTGCCAAGTGTTAAGCTTATAAAGGACAAGATGGTAATATTATGTCAGTATAATATCATACATTTAAGCAGGAAAGTCAATCAGTACCAGGTAGTTATATAGCATAAAACTATAGCATTTACGAGGATAGGTTTCTGGGATAAGTGGCAAGAACCCAGTAAAATCACAGTAAGACTCACTGATTTCCTTTACAGCCCAGATTCAGTTTTATTTATAGTATATATGTGATAGTTTTTACCCAGAACTTGAATTTAGTTGGATGTAAAAAGCCTGGAGACGAGACGGGGTGTGTGGAGTCAACACAACTTAGAAAATATCATTTGGATTATGGTTCAGTTATGTTCCCTGACTAAAGGTACTGAGACGTACCATTGAGGGTACCACCCCAGTGACTAGAGGGGTCCTGCCCCAGTGACAGATTAGTGCCTTTATCTCTGAGAGTGTGGAAAAGCTCCCTTAGCCAGAAAAAGCTAAAAAAATCACATTTTGTGTTGTTATTTAGACAAACAGTACAAACTGTTTATGCTATTTTTGTCAGATTTCACCAGTGATTTCAAATCTGCTGTAGAAACGTTTATGTGACTTTTGGTTTGGTTTTATACGTCTCTCCACGTTCAAAGATATAGGAGTCTGGTCTCTTTTGGGTGGAAATAACTGCTTGAGAGCATCGCCAAGATGACCATCAAGTGGACAGACCTTCCTATAAGAACTTTCATATGGAGTGTTAGAAATGGGAAAACTGGAGGGGGCTTGAGCCGCTATACGCAGACTGTATAAGCGCCCTCTTGGTTGATGTGTTCTTCAAGACCTGTTTCATCAAGATGGGGCTCAGCCTCTCTCCAGGAATAGAGCTCATAGGTCGACTTGAGTTCTATGAGATTCTTCACTCTTGGGCGCCCCCTTTGGTGCAGTACTCACTCCTGTTTGTTCTCCTCAGTAGCCCCAACCTGTCACATGTCACGACAATTCTGCAAATTCCAGCAGTAAAAGACTTATAATCTCTTTAAGAAGAGTCACATTGTATAATGTGATTATTTTATAATATGAAATGTCTGCAATAATGGAATAACTTGCTATAACAAGGTTGCACAAGCTTAATTCATGTTCATGTTGCTTCTTTTTCCCCTTGAGCAACTGCCACCCAAAGTGCTGGCAAATGGGCCTCCCTACACAGGATACACGCTCAAATAGATCTAATAGATCTAATAGTACAGTTGGACAAAGCAAGCAGGGCGATAAAGATCAGCAACAGTACGATCCATAAAACCATATCCATTATACTGTAAAATTGTTGGCTCAGCTTTGAAAAGTCACTGGCAGAAACGTGCACCTCCTCACCAGGTCTCAGTGGAATAGCTTTCACAAGACTCTCAGAGGTTCTGGTTTCTGAGATCATGGCCTCTACACTGTCTTTATCATGGCCTAATACACTCCTCTCTTCTCCTTGTTCTCAGGTTACGGCCACGCGGCTCCAGGCACGGATGCGGGGAAGGCCTTCTGCATGTTCTACGCGGTGCTGGGCATCCCCCTGACGCTGGTGATGTTCCAAAGCCTGGGCGAGAGGATGAACACGTTCGTGAAGTACCTGCTGAAGCGCATCAAGAAGTGCTGCGGCATGAGGATCACGGAGGTGTCCATGGAGAACATGGTGACGGTGGGCTTCTTCTCCTGCATGGCGACGCTGTGCATCGGTGCAGCCGCCTTCTCCCACTACGAGGACTGGAGCTTCTTCCAGTCCTACTATTACTGCTTCATCACCCTGACCACCATCGGCTTCGGGGACTTTGTGGCACTGCAGAAGAACCGAGCGCTGCAGCGGAAGCCCCTGTACGTGGCCTTCAGCTTCATGTACATCCTGGTTGGGTTGACGGTGATCGGAGCCTTCCTCAACCTGGTGGTGCTGCGATTCCTCACCATGAACAGCGAGGACGAGCGGCGGGATGCCGAGGAGAGGGCGTCTTTGGCAGGAAACAGGAGCAGCATGGTCATCCACATTCAAGAGGAGACGACGCAGAGGAGCCGGCGGAGACGGGAGCAGCAAAGGCAGCAGCAGCAGAGGTACAGGTCGGAGGTCACGGACCTGCAGTCCGTTTGCTCCTGCATGCACTACCATGAGTTCGGCAGCTCAGCCGCTCTTGCTCCGGGAGGTGGAGCGGGAGGAATTGGAAGAGCGTTTTCCCACCAGAACTCCTTCAGCTGCCAGCTGAGTCCAAACCAATACTTTCACTCCTCGGTGACGTACCGCATCGAGGAGATTTCACCAGAAACGCTGAAGAACAACTTCTTGCCTTCCCCCATCAGCTCCGTATCCCCCGGCCTCCACAGCTTCACAGACAACTTACGCCTGATGAGACGGCGCAAGTCCGTCTGAACGAACCCGCCACCCACATTCTTCCCAGTCTCCCCCCATTTTCAATAACAGTATTTATTCAGTAATAGATAAAAAGCGGTCACTGTTGATACCCAATCTGCGTTCCCTGTCCAATCTGTACTACGCATGTCCTGCATGCGTGCATTACATTAGCATTTTACGACTTACGTGACTGATCCACTACGAAACTTTTGCATTCCCCAAAAGTATTCATGTGTATTTTGTGTATTTTTGCACTCTTCCATGCTGGATTAGCATGATATGCTCTTGAACGCAATAGCTTTCGAAACCTCATAGCTTTAAGGCTTGATTAGCTTCGTGAACAGTGTTGCTTTCCACATCTTCCCCTGTATTGGCACATTGCTATAATAATTTTGTAAAACATTGTAAAAACTGGTACAATGTTTTACGATGGTACTACAAGGTTGTTTTTTCGGAGACATCAAATTTACATATTGTTATTACCACTTTATTACATATTGTAATAAGCTCTAAAACCTTTTGTTATCTCTGCCTCCACTTCCGGTGTTACGGTGCATGTTGAAATGACTTTGTTCTTCACTGACGTTGAACAAAGCTGGGCAAACTGTAGATGTTAGACCAGGTCTGTGTGCATATATCTCTCAAGTCCTGGTGCTTTCATTTCTTTGTTTTTCACCAATCCTTAAAAAGAAAGAAATATTTTAAATATTAAGATGAAATATCATCTCTGTCATGCAAAAAACCTTGTATCTCCATTTTTCTTATTGACTTTTTTGCAAAATTTAAAAACTTTAAGTACCCTTTGCATGATGGATAAACCAATAGAAATGGCCCAGAATTATTTGGAAAAACACAGTGTACCTTGACTTCCATTACAATTTAAGAATGTTTCCTTCTCCTAAGAATTTCCTTCTCCTGTAAAATTCCTATTTTGGGGATACAAGCTTTTGTTCCGACAGCGATGATATGTTTCCGTGAGAAAATCGGTCATGAGTGGAGATGTTATAAGGACTGAAAGCTGCAGGAAACATAATGTAATATGATGTAAAGTCGTAAAATGGCAGACACTGCATCGTAAAACGTAATGGAGTGTACGCATGCATGACAATCGGTGGTGTAAATTGGTCATGGGACGCAGATTGGGCACTAACTCTGCTCCTAGAGATCAAGAGTCAAGAGTCGAGAAGAACTTATCTCATCCATATTGTTGCTGTCATATCAAAATAACCCCTTTTAAAAACTTACAAATTATTTTTCACACCATTTGCAAATGCCAGCTGCCCTTTACACTGGGTGAACAATTCATAATGAATTGACCAATGAAAATGGCCTAAAATTTCAATACATTAATGAAGTTAAGAATGTTTGTTCAGTCTCCGTTAAAGCTTACTTTTTTGTTATGACAGTGACAAAATATACATTCGTATGCAGACGTTTGAATAACCCTGGTCAAAAAGAGAAAACAAATTCATGCATCCTCTACAAACATACTTAAATAGGTCATTTCTTTGCACATTTTGGTGCTTATTTTCTATTTATTTGCTGATTTGAACACATTGGAAAAAATATGGAATATAAAATGTGTCATAACTTTTGCACAGGCCACAATTTATGTTTAATCTTTTCCCCCAATATGTTAAATTCAGAAAAAGAACATTAATTGTGTGTTAAAATATGCTGTAAATTGGATGTGTTACTTTATTTTCACATAGAAAATCAACAAAAAACATGCCATTTGACTAGGGTGCCCAAACTTCTGCATAAGAGTGTAAATGGAACAAAGTAATGTTCTTTTAGATTTTTGGTGCAACGTACAAGCCGATATTTACTGGACCACATAGTGTCAGTGACCAAGAGATAGTACACTTAAATACCTTCCTGCAGAGTTTAAGCTTCAACTCTTACACACCAATCTTGATCCAGCTCATTACTGATATGCCCTCAAGTCGTTTAGTAGCTGGACAAAGTTCAAGAGCTCTTTGAGTGATACAGTCCCACTCCTGGTCCAGGAGATCTACCACCCTATAAGTACCCATAATGTTAAGGTTGTTCACCAATTTAAGGGGTCTTCCTGGACCTTTTGCATTATGTGGAGGTCCTGTGAACTTTTAAAAGCTTCTTCACTCTCATTTATCTCATTTGCAGATACAGTTCTCCAAAGAACCATCCACTGAAAGGTTTTTTAGGGAACCAAAAGGTGTTTTTTCCTACAGCATTGTACAAAGAACCCTTTCTGGTCCCTTTAAGAGTGTGCATAAGATTTGGAGTAGAAACATGCAGGAAGGTACTGGACTGGGCAAAGGTCAGAAACCACCCTCATTTATTTAATCTCCAGTCAAAACAGCCATTAAGTACAAGTTATTCTTTCCTCAACAACTAAATATAATATCACATTTTTCAGTGTTTATTCTGGCCACCCTTTACCTTTATTCCAGCTTCCATCCTTTTCAGGAGACTCACTTTCAGTTTCTCTAAGAAATCTGCAGGGATGTTTTTCACACCTCCAAAGTTCAGTCTTAGAAGTTGGTTTACCATTTTCTGAAGTAATCAAACCCATTCAGTGATGTTGAGGTCTGGACTCTGGGGTGGTCGGTCCATTGTTCTGAGAACACCAGCATTAAAGCTTCTTTAGTTTTTCTTCTGTTTTGTCTAAGGCCTTCTTGACAGCTTGACACAGACCCAACATCTTGAGTTGTCTTCTCATGTTTTCAGATCTGAAGCAGCTTGATTTTCTCCTCTCTCTCAAAGATGAAAGCTTTAAGTGCTGTTTATCTGATGGGGGCAGTGTTGGTGTTGACCAGTGTTGCAGGTGGTTGTTAGGAGACCCATTTCCTCTGTAGCTCCAGTTTTGGAAGCTTAGTTGTCCTTTGACTTTCTCCTTCCTAACGCAAGTAGATTATTTTACATCTAATCTCTTCAGAAATCTCTCCTGAAAACTGAATAACTCGTGCTTAATGGCCATTTTTATTGGAAATGAAATAAATGAAGGATGGTCTCTGACTTTTGCGCAGTGCTGAACATCTCCAGGAGGAGGGTTGGTGATCATGGACCTACACTCACACTCAGAAATACACACTGCATCTACAAAAGCTGCTCCTTAACCAAAATCTCATTTTGGCACTTTTCTTTTTCCTTTGTTGGGTTCTCATGATGAGGTTCGTACAGGCGTGCGCTCCAGGTTATTAGAATAATAGAGGAGCATGAACGGGGAGGGATGGAAATCCGATAAAACCCCACCAGTCTCTTAATAAAGGACGAGAAGCATGAAGCATGGATGTTTTTCACAGAAACTCATTTATCTGTTCATCAGCGGGCCGCCGTTTGCCCCCCCACCCCCCCCACCAACCCTTTTTTTGAGCGACGCCCAGAACGAGGCTTGAATTTTACCACCTGACCTTGATATCACACGAGACGACGCACACTCGAGCTTCGGCTACAATACAGAGAGAGAGAGATTATTTTTTACAGACAGAGAAAAATTATACTGTTTTGTCTTATCTAAAGATGACTTCTAGCTGGGGGGAATCTCAAGTGCCACACACCAACGAATGAGAAATAAAATAAACAAAAAAAAACTGATATGAAAAGGACTTGAAAGCATCAGGTTTTATTGTCGTTTCGTTTGTTTGTTTTTTTGTTTGTTTCTTTGTTCCTTAAAGAAGCAATTCCGTGTAGGAAGCTGAGACACTGGTTTTCTTATTTAAAGAAATGCCATGCCGAAATATTCCTCAACTCTAGCATGTGCATAAGTCGTCATTCGACGTGTGTTTTGTTTTTCTAAACTTAATTTATGTCATTTCCTTTGGAGGGAGGTTTTGTAAATTGTATGTGTACGTAGAGATTTTCCAATTGTGTAATATACGGATGTGATTGGGAAGGCAGCGGCGGAGGTCTTCAGGTTTTGCCTGATTAATAAATTTAATAATTGCATGTGCTTTGTTAAAAACTGGTATGCATAAACTGTCAAAAGGGAAAAACAATAGCAACCTTGCCAATGGATTGAATATCAAAAGCAAATAATCCTTTAAGTTTATTTTCTAAAAATAAAACTGTTATTTTTGTTCCTCTCAAAGATGTCCAGTTATCAAACTACTGTTAAGAACGTTGTCTCCATGTCTGGAACATTTCACGAAGACGGTACGACACATTCAGATGACCGATGATGTTTACCAACGTTTGGGTTCTGTAGGTACACAAATGCAGGTCGACGTCAACGACAGTGCTCTGCCATAACTAAAGATGTTTGTATATGGATCAATGACGTGACATCACGGCAAGTCCTATCAAATTATTTTCCTATTAAAGAATTTAATAAATACATGACATATCACATTATCCTACAATACCTCTCTTATGTGAGTGCATTTATGGTGCATCAAAATAAAATTTATTTTAGCCATTTATACCTTTAAAATAAAAAAAGTGTCAAGTGGTGCGACCATCAAACCATACATACTTATTAATCTATTAAAAAAGGCCATTTCTAAATTATTTAGCTTGATTTTATGTTTAAAAGCTTTGAATCATGACATGCTGCAAAATCGGGCAACATTCAGTACTCATTGGAAACACTGTAAATTCTGATTTCCTCAGATGTCATGTGGCGCAACTGACATCAAGGGACTTTTATTCTAAAACACTTGTAATAAAAGGTAGGCCAGGTATGGCATCATAAAGAAGACCCCAAATTAAACTCATGGCGCTACGGTCAGAAGGTCTTTCAGAAATATTGAAAAAATTGTTTCTTAATCAGTCACTGATTAGGCTGGTTTTCATTTGGAGGTTTAAGGACAGATGTTTGCATGGGTGTAAACAGATACTAGTTTTACATGTTTTCAGGAGTCATAAATAATAAATCTGTTATGTTTAATTAATGTGAGGTTGCACCATTTGACATTTTCTGGGAGGTTAAATGATTTAATAATTTATAATTTATGCCATTATAAAAGTTTCAAAAAGCTGAATAGATTCTTGCAGATGCAAAAAGTCACATCATATCCTGTTTAGTAATTTTTAAAATTTGTTTTAAACAGTTTTTTACATTTTCAAATTTTCATTTTGAAATCATTTATTTGTCATTGACCCATATTCAGATGCCCAGGGGTGGAAAATGCTTGAGTGATTGTGCTTTGTT